AGGATACACCAAATAGAAACAATCGAGGAAACAATTAATAACCTTATGCTTTTGTGTTTTTGATCTGCCTATAAACGGAGGTAAAAGTGTTTATCGGTTGCAGGCGGTATAATCGTCCTTAAATTGTCAAAAAGTTCGCTTGTAAACAACATCGTAACCACATTGATATATAAAATGACAAGTGAGTATGTTAATATGACAAATGAGTAGTGTAATATTTTACCATACCATTAAACAAAACTATAGTTATATCTTTATTAGGAAAAATCCTCCGAGTACTACATTTACCGCAATTGTAGAAACCAAGAAATGGTTCTGTTTCGTATGTTGTGGTCTCAAACCCATATATTTTTTGACGATTTCCACATAATTAATGGAGTCCTGTGGGTTTAGGTATAGGTTTTTGATTTGTTAATTGTAACAATAAGGACATCTTCACTTTTAACATCATTTGCGCCCAAATTGTAAATTTCATCGCATAGTGTAGCCCCACATAAACCAAAAACGGCTGCTACCTAGAAAAAAGCATTACAAGTCAAGCATATTATGCGTTTCTGACATGTTTGTATACCTTGCACATGAGAAATTGATCGTCTTTTCTCCAGTCCTGAAAATCGGCATAATATTTTTCATATCGAACTTTCGATTTAGTTGGAATTATAGAGACTTAAAAGCTTCGTTAGCACTTTCTCGTACGTTTTCAGGCAAATGTACAGTACTCATTTTCTAATTAATTAGATGAAAAATTAGGTTTTGTTGATTAGCAACACTCGCAACTATAACAACCAAATTTTAACATAGCAACCGACATCTACGGCAACTTTGATGATTACGATAAAAATGTTATTTGATTTAGGAAATTGCCCAAAAGTAAGGGATTGTGCGCCTGCAACCGATAAACTATTGAACAAACCGCTGATGTTAAGGCAATCATAACAGCCTTAGATGTCTTACAATCCTCGCTACGCTCGGATACAGATTAAAATACTCCAGATATATCACGCCATGTAAAAATATGCTACGCGAAATTTGGATTTCACCGCCAAGTGTGTTAAATCCAAATTAACTTTCTAGTACAGTTTCAAACCCAAACATTAAAATTAAAGTTCATTCTTAGAAAGATTTCTGCAACGTCCCTATAGCAGAAGAGAGAAAAAAAATCTTTTATTTATATAACATAGGTAATACCTAAAGGTATAGTGTTACACCGTCTGCGATAAAAGTTTATCATTTATTCTTTGTAGAGAATGAACTCCACTTTATAGTACGACAATCTCACAAACAAGTTGTAGCTTTGTTTATTCATTTGCAAAGGTTGTAACTAGTAGAAAATTGTTAAACATAGCGGCTGGTTATTCCTAATGTCCTCAATGAGTTAATATCTGATATCTGTATAGGATGAAATTGAAATAATACCTATTATTTACTATAGGTACCTAATTGTTATTTAATATGGGTTTAATGTTTTGAAAAATAAGTAGGGTAAATGCTTGTTATTTCAAAAAATCCATACTGGCGTACGATCGTTTTAATATACTTTCAGACAGCTGGCTATCGCGCGATGGGCGATGAAATGCTGTGCGATGCGATAAATTCAAACCTCCATTTATTTTATGCGATGCGATGCTACTTTGGGCGATGGTTTGAAATTCAAGCAAGTTTGATTGATCACCAGTCATCGCAAGCGAAGTATGGCTTTATGAACGAGCCCTAGCGAGCTTATAATTTTGCGGTGTCTGTCCGTCCTAGGGAATGCAATCCCGCAGCAAAATCTTCATCCCGGTATTTGCGGGATTGTTAGAAGTTAATCCCGCGGGATCCCGGTATTTGCGGGATTCCGCACAAATTCCTCAGTCCCGCAAATCCCGCGGGATCCCGGTATTGCATTCCCTAGTTCGTCCGTTAGCACGATATCTCGATAACGAATGGACCGATGACGGTAAAATTTAGTACACGGATTCTTTATCAAATTTGTAGATCGGAGTTCGTGAATTGGCAATGTAGCCCAAAAAATAGGGAAGGCCCTTTTGACATCTCTGTGAGTTATGAACCGAATTGCATGAAATTCAATATGCGTATAGATTTAGCTATATAAAACGCAATTCCAAAAATTGAGCCTAATCGATCAACATTCACAATGCCCTTTTCGCATCTCGACCATTTATAAACTGAATTGCAAACTTTTTATTTATGAAGGTATTTAAATGAAGTTTGATACATGGGCACTTGGAATAAAAGCAAATTTAACGCCAGTTTCAAAATTTGGTTTTGCGCATGCGCAGTGCCAACTTTCATATTTATGGAAGCAATTAAATGAAATGTCATACATATACAGTTTAAATAAAAGCAAAACTAACATCAAGATTAAAATCGTTAAATCGTTCCATAGATAAAAAAGTTGGCATTGCGCATGCGCAAAGCCAAATTTTGAAACTGGCGTTTGATTTTCCCAAGTGCCTATGTATCAAATTTCGTTTAAATTCTTCCATAAATAAAAAAGTTGGCACTGCGCATGCGCAAAACCAAATTTTGAAATTGGCGTTTGATTTTCCTTTATACCAAGTGCCTATGTATCAAATTTCATTCAAATACTTTTATAAGTAAAAAAGTTTGCAATTCGGTTTATAAATGGTCGAGATGCGAAAAGGGCACTGTGAATTTTGAATCGATTCCATTCAACTTTTGGCATTGCGTATTATATGGCTAAAGCTATGCCCATATTGAATTTCATGCAATTCAGTTCATAACTAACGGAGATGTAAAAGCGATTGAACATTTCTAAACAAAGTTATCGTTCACACGGACAGATAGATGGACAGACAGACAAAGGAACAGACGGAGAGACCAACCGGCAGGCGACAGATAGCAATGAAAAATTATAAACGATCTCTAGGATCGTTAATAAACGGCAAAAGTGTAAAATTATGGAACATGTAAAAAACGGTTTTTTGTTTTTTTTACAATAACTTTTTTTGTAAGCGGTACCGAAAAAATTCCTTCCTTGGTACAAGACTCGACACCATAACGAACCAAATAGCGAAAAAAGTAGAACAATAGCTCTTAAGATAAAGAACTAGTAGCGTTGCAAAATGAGCGGACGGACGGACGGACGGACGGACAAAGTGGCCACAATAGCGCATCTTTTTTTTATTTTTGTGGAAATGCGCTAAAAATACGTCTTTATGAAAAGAAAAGGTGTCTGAACTGTTCAAGTGTTAAGCTTAAAGTGTCTTTTTTTATATACCTTAACGGTTAAGTAATGCGATTCCCTTTAAACCTTAATTCAAAGTTCGGCATCCCACAATAAATGGTTACACAATGCAAAAACGGAGGAGCTCCGTCTCAGCGAAAATGGCCCACCTCATTAAAATGTATTTTTGAATAAATGGTGTCATTCCGTTGTAATCTAATCCGTATCCGTAAAAAAATAACGAGAAAATTTATTTGCAAATATCCTAACTTTCGTAATTATAATATGCACCTTAGATGGGATATCCTGACCTTCAGATAAAGTGTTTTGACTTAAGGAAATATGATATTCTTTTCTTTAAATCATTTAAATTACGCATGCCTTCTCATATTTATTTAACAGTATTACAGTACAGTTTCCAACCATTCGTTTACGATGAAAAAGTGCATTTACGAGCTAAGCATTTGAACATTTTACGGCAGTAGCGCTAGCAGACGGATGTTTTTTCAGCGCAAACATTTCGTATATCTCATGAGCCGTCTGTAGTATTTTGTCTGTGGTACAATGAATGGTTATTTGTCTAAAGACGAGTACATAAACGTGACCTATACCAACATTCATTTCTCATTTACTAATAAGCTAAAATGACATTTGTGATTTGAATGAGCTTGGGCGACCCTACGAAAAAGAAAATCGTTTGGAAATTTTAGACGATTGTGTAACGCTGCCTGTATCCTATGTCTATCCTACGACGTGCATTTCCTAAAAAATCACAGGGGTACAAAAATGCATTTCTTATTTATTGCATATGCATTATACATAACTAACATAACATTGGAGGAGGGGGGGTCGTAGCTGCTGAACCCAGATCTATCATTGAATGGATCTACTCTCGATATTCTCCACCTCTGGCATTCTCTGCCAATTTCGAGGGCATTTATAACTATCCAATGATATGGACTCTACGCCCCCTATTAACCCCAGTATGATTTCTCCGGCTTGTCATATAACGAGCGATCAAAAAAGGACTGACAATCGAGTCGCGGACTTTTCGGGTAACCAAAAAATCCAAAGGTTACTCGACAACTCTTTTTTGATCGCATAGTATGAAGTTTAATGAAAATAATGATTACAATTAATTGTAGGAATGACAAAATAAACAAAAACAGTTTTTTTTCTAAATAAAGCAAATTTCCCTATGTATCCTTTTTCACCACGTCAAAGCATTATTATAAAAATAATAACTCAATAACTCTGGTAATAGTGCATAATGGTTTTTTGCGTGTACCTTTAAATGTAATTTAATCTATGTCAACCACCTGTTTACTACAAAAATAATGTTTCACTATCTTTCAATTTTAAAACATGCTGCGACCTCTGATATTTAATAGCTGAATCATGGTTGCCCCATTTCATAAATGATTCAATTTTTCAATTCGTATGCCGTCCTTAACAAAAATTTTTTCCCGAAACTGTGCAATTAACGGTTCCATAAATATGGAGTTCAATGGATATGGCCTGTAACCATTGTTAATGGGACACCCTGTACAAAAAACGAGCACTATCACCGCCTACAGTACAGACACACCTACTTCATAATTTGGATGATGTCCAAGAAAGTGGTTTTAACATTGGCAGCAGTATTGGCACTGCTGTGCTCCAAACAAAATAATTCATGTGCGACGCAAAATTTACATCAACACATTAAAACTTGTGCAATATCGGCTGTGTAAACCACCCAGTCAAAATGATTATACATTCAAAAACGACATTTCACGGATACAAAAACTAAGAGCAAAAAAATATACAATTGAATGTCGAAACATTTATTATAATTACAATGCTATTGCTACACAGCAGTACACGAATTATCTTAACATCTACAAACTAAAATTATGAAACTAAATTTTAAAAAAAGTACACTTATATAATTTAACATTGTATACTAGAAACGTTCATAATTATAGGTATTTATTTAGCTTCCTCAACCTTATCCTCGGTTTTCTTTTCGGTTGCTGCTTCGTCCTTTGGCTCCCCATCTTTTTTTACTTCGCCATCTTTTTCGCTGTAACGTAACCTTGTAAAAGGAAAAGAAACAACTTTAGCGCATGTAACATAGAATACAGCGTGTCTATAAAATTGCAACCATGCTATGTGGTATAATTTGAACCACACAAATCATAGGATAGCTTTAAGACGCACTGCATAGATCTATCTATACTAGGAAAACAAGACAACATTGCGATAAGTTTACCTGTCGTATCGTTGCCCACCTGCATCTTCGTCCTCATCCGAACTCTTATTACCCGATTCCGCTTCCGCTAATATATCGCCAAGATCTTTATTAACGTCATCTGCCCATAGTTTATCATCAATATTCTCTTCATCTTCGCCAGACTTTTCCTTCTCGTCAGTTTTAGATTCCTTTTTGTCTGGTTCCCCTTGTTCCTTATTCTACAATACTTGACATAAAAATCTAAGACAAGTCTTTGAGAATAACCTTATTCTTTTCGCGTTCCTTCTCGGCCGTCTCCTTACGCTGCAAGCGTTCCGCATGATTTGCCAACTCCTTATCTTCTTTGTACCGTATGTATCGCTGCATATGAGTACGCTGTTTGCAATGTTTAGAAAGATTCTTTTCCAGTCCGCCCTCCTCCACTCGAGGCAAATACATTTTACACAGTTCGCAATAGTAAACTTCGACTTTGCGAATTTGCTCGATTCCGACATCGATCTTTTCCTTCGATTTACCTTCACCACCTTCGTTTTTCTTCGCCTCTTCTTCTTCTATTAATAAAAAATAGTGTTACAAAGAAAAATTTGAAAATGAAATAATGTGCCTCCCAGGGAAGGCCTGCGATCTAAAGCAAAATGCAGGTTTCAAACGGGAGCTGATAATTTCTGTCTCGTTAGACGCCTGTACCACAAAGAAATGGTACAGATAACACAGAGACAAATCATTGAATAAGAATCCGAATAGAAGTACAATGGGAATAAGAGAAAAGATGGCCAGTATTTTTCAATCATAATGTGAAGGTGATCCACAGCAATAGAGAAAGTACCTCGAGTGGCGCCTTAGTGTGAAACAAGCTTTATGGCTCATTTGATTCTTAAAAAAGGAATTTTTTTGGAATACTTTGATTCCACACAAAACTATCCACTCATCAAAGCACTAAATAAAAAAATTGTCAAAAAGTGACAAGTGAACATAGCACCCCAATTTTTCGCTTATGCCAAATTTCGGGATACTGGGTGTATTGATGACGAGAATCTCAAATATTAACTGAGTTTTTTGTTTAATGTTGAGGGAGCAACATAATGTTCCTGAATTACATATCATATACATGAATATTAAAGTTTGTACAAGTATTTAATTAACACCCTGTATAATGCCAGAATATAGAGGGAATCGCCTGACTACTCGGTGTGCCGGACTGTCGAGCACCTACTGCACTTAAGATGCCATTTTGTATTAAAATTTAAAAAATACAGAGTGTACTATTTAAAAATCGAAAATTAAGTCTATTCCAGCTAAACCGGAAGTAATAAAGAACTTATAGTGAATATAAGTGAATCACTTCTAAGAATCATCCAGACATTAAAAAAAAATTGGAAGGTAAGGGGGAGCTGTACAGTCCAAAATGGATGCTGAAAGTTTTTGTGAAAGTCGTAATTCTCTTACCTGAGGGCATACGCAATATGTGTTTTTTTCTTGAAAGTGAACACTTTTAACATTTAATTAATGTTATGTTTTGTGCCATTTGATGGTCATTTCTGTTGCGGGGCGTAAGGCACATTATTCAGCGAAAATTTCAAACACACAGCACAGAAGTAAAAGAGAAACAAGTTATGAAAGGCGATAATAGCGCCTTTCAACATAAGTTGGAAAATGCGCCAAAAAGTAAGCAATGTGCCATCTAAATTTCAAAATTTTATTGTCACGTTTGATCAAATCTTAAGTGATAGGAAAAAAATCCTTCCGACATTCAATTCGTTTTTACTCATATCACCCACCAAAATTTTATGTTCCTACCTACCGCAAATTCTGCAAAAGTCTGTCTAGTACATTTTTAGTTTTTCTAAAATGCTATAAAAATGAGAAGACAGACGTTTTTACTCGGTAGATTTCTTTAGTTTGACATATAGCCACCCTCCGTTTACCTCTTTATAAGTATTGACCATTTGTCCCTCAAGTGCAAGGGATGATTCCTGGAAAAAGTGCCAAAATTTTGTTGATCTGAAATATGTTAAATTTCGATGACAAAAATGACTTTTGCTAGATGTTTGATTACGTTGCTCAAAATTTCAGTACCCTTTCTCAAAATAACATTTGATAACAAATATCAAGAAAAACTGTTAAACTGGCCCCTTAAAAAGCATTGTGTTATCCTATTCGGATTCTTATTCACTGGATAATCTGAACTAGTGTAAGAGTTTCATACCATCGAAATCTCCAATGGAATCGATGGTCATGAAGTTTTCTAAATTGTCTTCCTCATTTCCAGACATATCCTCTCGATCCGGCTTATCGGCATTCAAATTTCTGGCTTTACGCTGTAAAACCACAAGTAGAGAAGAATGATTTGAATTACTCGCGCTTTACCTTGATGTGTTCAATTGAGCAGATGTGCGTCTCGTACAGCATGGGACTTTTAAAAGTAATGCTGCAAAAACGACAATATGGCATCAAAAACTTCTTCATACTCTTATGGGCCTCGGACGCCTGATGAGTCGCCTTGGGTTGCTTATAGTTCAGCTTGCACAGAGGACAGAAGTTTGTACGAGGCGCCAAATCCTCTGTGGACTTCTCGAGTTCGCGTTGAGCATTGCGTTGTGTAAGACGCATGCGTGCCAAAATGGATTTCTGCTTCATAGCAACGTAGCGCATGGCCGTCATATGTCGGCCACTATGCAAATGAATGCTGTACTTGTTGAAAGTCACGCACCTAATATTGCAATGGGGACAAGCCAGTTTGATGAAGTCTTTTCTCTTCTTTTCAATTTCACTCTCATTTTTGCTGTCGGACAGTTCCTTTTTGACTTTTTTAGGAGAATCCTTTTTCTCTTTACTGTCCTCATCTTTTCCATCTTCACCATTTTCCATCTCTTCATCTTCCTTCTTGCTTCCATCGATTTCTTCTTTGTCATCCTTCTCTTCACTCTCTTCCTTATCGCTTTCATCCTCTTCCTCATCATCGTCATGCTTCCGAATAACGTGATGCGAAATAGCACTAAACAACGACAATTAGTTACAACAGAATTTCAAATATTACACAAAAAATAAACGTGATTAATTAACAACAGTGTAATAGATCAAAATACCACCTTACCGCCGCATCAAGAGAAAACAAAACAAATCTTTACATTTACTTTTTCTATTTCACTCCATTTTCAGCTGTTTGGAGACGTTTACCAGATTCATTTTCTACCAAATCATTTAAAGAGAGCAGTTTTCAGAATCCTCATGTCATACGTCTGTTCGTTTTCGTTAATACATGTAATAACATCGTGATGTATAGATTTGTTACAATTTTCTCCGGTACACACTTCGGCTTGTCGCTTTTGTTAATGCCATACGTTCAATGTAAATTGCAAGATAGTTTTCACCAGAGGTCGTAAAGATTGACAAATTTTATTTTAATTTTTCCAATGTGTGGACCACTAAGTGGAATTGTTACTCCCAGGGAAGGCCTACAATTTTTTTGCAAATTGTAAGATTCAAAGAGGAGTCGATAATTTACGTCCCACATGACGTCCATTGTACTTACATAAATACAACAGATAACACTGGGACATTCATGATAGGTAATGGTAATGAGTAATGACACTGTTAGTTTCTCCCAAAAGGAATACATGAAAATTTGCTTCAAGACGATAATAAAATTCATGGAAGTTATGTATCAGATATAGTATATATGTCACAGAAAATCCATAAAATATAGTTCCAACACAATAGGAAAAAACGCGTGTAATTTTGGTGAGCGAAATTCCCAAAAACCCTATTGTACTAACAAATTCACAGCATGGCTTAATTAAAGAGATTCCATATTGAATCAGAAAATAATATATGAATGAACATTAAACTTCATTGAAATTTAAAAATAATTAATTTTACTAATATACTCTTTTGATTTAAAAAAAGATATACAGTAACCGCCATCTTGAATTTTTCATTTATCCTAAGAAACTTTCATTTTTATAGTTTTTATGGGAGGAAAAAATCTCGGGTTGTCAATTATAATTTCTACCTAATCCTGCCATAATTTTTAATTTTTTAAAATCGCTTTCAACATTTGGTAAATATTCACATTTTGAAAAGTTTTGGGAGCGTGTTTAAAAAATGTTGAAAATATTTGAAAAATGACGGGAGTATTTTAAAATTTGTGTTTTGAAAATGTTTACCAGTGCTTTAGTCCAGGAAATAGAGACTGAAAATGGACCATTTCCTGCAAAACGAGAAGTAGTTCCAATTTTTTTTGCATGTCATGAAAGAACATCTGGTGGTTAAGAATCCAAGTTTTCGACCTCCCACCCCTTGTGCTTCCCCCGTACCACCCTTAAAGCCAAAAAAATTTGGTTGGTTTTTTGGTTTTTCAATCATATCTTTTTATAGGTTATTTTTATCAGAAATTGTAGACTATACAATTCTACACAACTTTTATACACACTACTTTTTTGAAAAATGTTTATTAAAAACGATATCGAGCTACAGAGTTGCTTATATTTTTAAGAATTCTGAAATTTCTATGTAGATGTTTTAACCAAATTTTATACTTTATCTCTATAATTAAGAGTTTTATCTTGAAGTTATCGTGATATAAATCCCCCTACGCTGCACCCTTACCTAAGGGGATGCATAATAATTCAACTTTCAACTCTTGCTAGTGGGGATATTTGAATCACTGTGAGATTGTAGGGCTTTCTAATATACCTACGTTGGAAACAAAAAAATTATCTTACTTCAGTTCAGCTTCATCCTTCATATCCCCCCCCCCCAACCGCGGTAGGAATAGATATCGCGCGGGGGGGGGGGGGGGGGGGGGTGAAACTGAACTGAAATGAGACAATTTTTTAATTTCAAAAGTGTATTAGAAAGCGCTACAATCTCACAGTGATTCAAATATCCTCACTAGCAAGGGTTGCAAGTTTAATTATTATTCATCCCCTTTGGTAAGGGTGCAGAGTAGAGGGATTTATACCACAATAAATTCAAGATATTTTGTCGTAAAACTCTTAATTATAGAGATAAAGTATGAAATCTGGTTAAAACATCTACATAGAAATTTCAGAATTCTTAAAAATATAACCAACTTTCGAGCTCTATATCTTTTGTAATAAACATTTCACAAAAAAGTAGTATTATATCAAAGTTGTGTAGAATTTTATGGTCTACAATTTCTGATAATATTTTTTTCTAAAGTGAACCATTAAAACGATATGATTGAAAAATTAAGAAACCAACCAAATTTCAGCGGTTTTGGGGGTGGTACGGGGGAAGCACAGGGGGTGGGAGGTCGAAAACTTAGATTCTTAACCATCAGATGACTGTCTATGACATGCAAAAGAAATTGGAACTACTTCTCATTTTGCAAATTAAAACCCTCTATTCCCTGGACTACTTGTAGTTTTCGAAAACATTAAAAATATGCTAGAAATGTTCCAAAAAAATGTAAAAAATATTTTGAAAGTGGAAATGTATGAAAATTCAAAAATCTTTCAGAAATTTTAATTTGACACAGTACCCTAAAATTATCCAATGAACGATTAATTTAATTTAATCTTATGCACAGCTTAAATAAAATTTTGAGTCCTTAAGATCGCAATTGACTGGACCGAACTATTGATTTTTTTCATAGCAGAATTTTTTCTTATGCAAAAACTAAGCGCGAATCTTTTTGCTATCAAAAAAGTAATATTAGCTCAAACTTAAAATGACAAAATGAAAATACGTACTTGCTCCATTAAGAGATATAGAGGAAAATCAAGAAAATTGTCAATTTCAAAATGACCCTATATTTTTCTTAGCTAATCTAAAGTGGTAGCATATTAAATTCTGTTTTCAAAAATATACCTAACACACCACGGATATTTAAAAAAATCAATAAAAAAATTGAAAACGATACAAAGATTAAAAAAATTTAAAAGAAGGTTTAAATGATTCAAAAAAACAACACATTCAAAACGGTTTTTGATGTTTTTAAAATCTTTTTTAAATCAATATTGAATTTTATGAGATGAAAGTATACAGTGTTCTATTTTTAAAAAGGACTCAGATTATTGAACAATCAATATACAGAAAATTTTGTAATAAATATTTTTTGGTATCTCTGTTAACTAAGAAAATATAGGGTCTTTCTGAAATTGACAATTTTTTTATTTTCCCCCTTATCTCTGAAGCGGGTGAACATTTCAAATTTTGAACAGACAATTTTAAGTTTGACCTAAAAAGGGCACATAACGCCTATATTACTTTTTTGATACTAACAATACCCTATAAGTGTTAAAAATAACACCCTGTATCTTAAAAGTAGTATATATCTGTTTACCTACCTACTCAAATAATCGATTGAAAATGTAGCACAACCTCGTTTACAGTACTTTTATTTTGTACCACAAAACATGAAAGATCTTCAAGAAACTGGATTACAAGACGCAGTCAAAAGAATAAAATTCACCCAAGAAAGGTGTAGTTTCAGAAGTTGCCCAAAAATTTAAAGAGATGATTCTAATGCTAGGAAATGACAATGACAGTATGATCCATGGTAGGTCCACAATACTCAAATAAATTAAAATAAAATTAATGTCAACTTTTTGTGTCAGACTTGTCATCTTTCCTGCGCCAAGTTCATCATTAACAGCAAGCAAATAACATTTTCTTCTTTTGGACATCCATCGTATTTTTTCTATTTCAGTTGGCATATTTATTATTGACCATAGAAACAACAAAGTTATCTAATGTGGAGAACAGAAGCAAGTACTGCAATCCATGCATCTCGTCAGAAAAAAGTACAATTAGAAAATATAAGAAAAGTGTGGTTTCTTCTAAGTAGTCTCACTTTACAACACAAACTTTAGGCCTATAAAAAACAATGAACAAATTACGCATTTCTCTGTTATGCTCCGGCTCAATCTAATAAGCGTAAAAGGCATCTCCACCATGATAGATAACATAATTTCACACAGTGTTTCAAACATACCAGGTATTAACCAGTGAAATTTCTGGAATAAAATGTTGATTTACCTCCTTAATCTAGAAATTTTAAGTCTCCTTGCGTAATCAGATGTTGTCAATCGCGGCGGTAAACGTTTCCGAATAGCATAGGAGCTCTCTATCAGACGTCTGCGTGGAGGCACTGCTCTAAGATGTGCACCTCGCATTCCTCTAGTGCTGATACGTCCCCGATACCCTCCTCGAGGGGTACTAGAAATGGGTCTTGTCGGTCGCCGAAATTCATCTCTGCCTGTGGAATAAGAAGGCGGCCGTCTGTCGCGTGAGAAACTCCTGCGCTCTGAAAAGCTATTCGAAGGGTATCTGCCACTTGAACTGTTGAAACTGTCACCTTCATGGCTTCGTCGCGAACTTGCTGCCTGAATAAGATACGTAATTATACAACGGCACTGCAAGGCCTTCAGACATCGTGTCTACGTGGCCTTCAGTAAACTCATTAATTGTATTTTGATTTGATAACAAGTCATAAAATCAAAAAATCGTGTAAGCTCGTGATTCTAATCAAATCTATGTGAACATTTTTCTGTGTGTAGAATGGCATTTTGCTTTTTTTTTGGTTATATAATTATCGCAAGCACTACACATATGGTACGGAAGAAATTTCTCAAACAATACATTTCAAATGGGATCGTCCCCAAAGACGAGACTCCAATTTTTTTCTTATCAATCTGTTTTACGGCAAAAGTGCCCTACTCAAACCTGTAAAGCGAAAAAGAAACTGTGTCAGATTTACTGAATGTACCTCGGGTCTCAAGCGTTTGCGTTCGGGTGAACGTGCGCCGTCACGACCGGGATATCCTCCACTTGACAGCTCCTGAAACAATAATTGGTTTGATTAATATTGCTGATGAATTTTGGAAGGGTGTGAGGTGGAGAGGAGATCCCAAATAAAACATTTATTTAGCCTTCTTTACCATAATTTTTTTCCTTTTTAGTCCAGGCAATAGAGAACATATGAGGACCATAGCTTGCAAAATGAATGGTAGTTCTGGAAATAGGCTTACTCTATGTTTTTTGTGTTGCTGAATCCAAATGTTTCACTTCCCACCAAAAATTCCCTCCGCAACTCCTCCTCAAATCTTGAAAATTAGAAAAAAAACATGTTTTCTTAGGAAATCATTTTTTTGCTGCACCAATAAAATTCCTACAAATTGGAAATGTAGATTAAGTATGCCACCAACTACCGAGCGGATGGACCAAAAAATTTTTTTCAAAATTTGGGGGGTTGCGGAGGGAATCTTTGGTGGGAAGTTAAAAATTCGGATTCATCGACACGGAAAACATAAAACCAATCTATGTCCAAAACTACCATGAATTTTGCATCCTAAAATTATATATTTCCTGGACTATTTTGACAGTTATCAGTTTGATCTATTTAAATGTCAAAAAAAAGGCGTAAAATAAATCAATTTAAGAATTTGAATATAGTCCAAGCTATATATTTAAAAAAAAAAATTAGTTACCAGGCGAAACCAGGTTTTCCAGGCAGATGAAATGAATAGAAATTGGGAAAAAATAATTAAAACAGCTGAATTATTTCGCGGGTGAAATCCCGGGGGTTGAAAGGGAAATTGGTGTTTTGCAAATTGTGGCAAAACTATTAATTTTAGACGAAAATTTCAAATGTAAAAGTTAGAGATTAAAAAAATGAGCAACTTTTGTATCTGCACTATTTTCACATAACCTCCAATTTTCCTAGAAAAACCGGAAAAACTGTTTTTTTCGTTTTTTATTCTTATTTTGGCGAAAAAATATCGTAGGGGTTTGAAATTTGGAGGAAACAGATTGTTTTATGATAAAAAATAAGATAATTTTTGGGCCCATAAAGTTGAACCGTTTCCAAGATCTCCCGATTTCTGAAAAAACCACCTCTTTTTCAAGGGGATGAAAAATCTATTTCATTTCATTGTACAGAGGTGCGCGGGGTAGAAAAATTTTCGGGAAGACTTATATTTTAATAAACAAAAATAAAAAAATATTATTCCTATAGCAAAAATTCGAGAAAATCGCCAAAAACATGATAAATCAACATGTTGGATGTTAAAATTTTTTTCGAAATCTGTCTTCTTGCTTCTCTTTAATGTTTGCTTAAATATTCTCTTTTGTTATCTTATGTTCAACTGTTTTAGTTAAAACATCTTTATTATTTTTTTTTTCTGCATTTTTTACGCAATAAAAGCAATTCGAAGTAAAATCGAATTCTTTTGCTTCCTGAACAATTTCTTTTTGTTCACTGCCTCTTCTTCCTGCCTGTTTTATGCTGATGCAATTGCGTTGGGCCTGTTGATAAACTTGCAAAATCTGCAATAAGAACGTTAGTTTTCCCGGCTAAAGCAAATGATTTGAGATGTAAAACCTGGAGTAAACTTTGAGGATTTTATTCATAAATCCTGTAAATTAACGATCAACAGGCCCCGCTTAATCAACAAGCTATGTTTCAAACCCCTACGACTTTTTTTCGCAAAAATAAGAATAAAAAACGAAAAAACAGTTTTTCCGGTTTTTCTAGGAAAATTGGAGGTTATGTGAAAATAGTGTAGATACAAAAGTTGCTCATTTTTTTAATCTCTATAACTTTTACATTTAACATTTTCGTCTAAAATTAATAGTTTTGCCACAATTTGCAAAACACCACTTTCCACCCCTTTCAACCCTCGGGATTTCATCCGTGGAAAAATTCAGCTGTTTTAATTAGATATTCCCAATTTCTATTCATTTCACCTGCCTGAAAAACCCGGTTTCGCCCTGTAACTAATTTTTTTTTAATAAATTATTTTAGAGCTATAATAATAATAATAGTGATTTATTCTTAGAATTGTGAATTACAATTATCGAAACGTCAAGGGATATTATATAACAAACATATTTTATATTAGGATAAACAAACGACATAAAAACTGTATATATAGAATATACTATAAAATATCAAGCGAACCTAGAATACCAATATGTTCTTTGAATTCCTGTACAGAATAAAATGAGTTGCTTTGTAATATTTTTTTGAAACTTGTTTCGAATTCATGATGGTTGAGATTTCTTAAATGTTTTGGAAGATTAAACAATACGGAAGCTGTATGAAATGGAGAGGTATTGTAGTAGGTATAGTTGTGTTTGCGAATTGCAATGTTGTGCTTCCCTCTGGTGTTGTGTTCATACATTTTTCCTACTCAAATTTCTTAATGTTTTTATGCACATAATAAAGAATTTTTTAGATGTAAATACGGGGCAATGGTAAGATTTTAAATTTTACCAAGGTGTATTTGCATGTTTCTAAATATGTGAGGTTGCATATCAGACGAATTTTGCGTTTTTGAAGAATGAAGAGTCTGTATGCTTGCCTGCTCCAGTGCCGTCCTTAGGCTGGAGGTGGCCGCTCCAGGCCTCGCACTGTGAGGCCTTACTCTCGTTAAAAAATAAATATAAGTTTTGGTTGAATGAAAATAATATAACAATATTTTAATATATAAATATACAGGGTGCCCATTATGTATGGGATATAGTATATATCTCGGTAAAGATTTTTCTATATGAAAGTTGTTTAACATTTTATTTCCCATAATAAGGTAGCATTCCATTGTTTTTATTTCAGAAAACAAATGAGTAACGAAAAATAATTGATTTTTTTAAAGTAGCAATGCACACTTTCATTAGGCTCGTTTGATAGAGATTTTTTTCTCTTTTCAATGACATAAATTAATTTTTATTTTTTGTGATACATTATGCCACTGCCTTGCAGTTAATCATGAACATTTTGAACATTCATTATGATGAAACCCATTTTAATGCTAATTTCGTTTTGTCTTCAAGGTTTAATAAGAAACGTAGACGTTCATTTGTTTTATTTTGATGTAGGATATCTGGATTAATGTTATTCATTTAATTATGATACATTTTTTTGAAAAATTTTCTTGAATAAGGGTACTGTTATATCATCGAAAAGGGAAAAAAATCTGAGCCTAATGAAAAGGTGCATTGCCATTTAAAAAAATTCAATTGTTTTTCGTTACTCATTTATTCTGAAATAAAAACAACTGACCCGCGCAATATGTTCAACCATTGATTAATTAAATCCTTCACTCAACGGTTCAACTATTATTGGGTAATCCTCTGGGTGTATTGCATACCCCCCCCCCCCCCCCAATCATATTTCGCTCCAGGCCTCGCATTTGATAAGGACGGCTCTGACCTGGTTGATCCCCAACAAGCAATGTTGTAGCTCAATTTAGCCTGGACTAATAATAATAATAGGACTTTATTGGACACAAAATATAGAAAATATATAATAGAAAATATGTGTTTGAATATATTTAAACTTCTATTATAAAAAGGGGGCTAAAAATGAATTCAAGTTTTAGTTCAATAAATTCTTCTCAACACCCATTAAAACGTATTCCTACACAAAAAGAATGTATTTGCAAATGCTAGAACGCCAGAAAGGGTGGGTGGCCATTTATAAAATATTCAATCAGTATTTTTTATTGTATGACCTACATCTACTTCCAATCATATACTCATGTCAATTGAAGTAAAAAAAATAAAAATACAGCACAATTTGCAGTGTGAAACTTTCGTGTTACTCCCAGGGAAGGCCTGCAATTTTTACACAAATTGCAAGATTCAAAAAGGAGTCTTTTACTTTACGTCCCACATGACGTCCATTGTACTTACATAAATACAACAGATAACACTGGGACTAAGAAACAATTTCATTAAATCTCTTTTATTCAGACAATAGTCTGCGAACAAGGCGCGAGCACAAGAGCAGTGTCTTTCAGTTCCAACATCACTCTCGTTCCCGCTTTGAGTACTTTAAGGAATGAAAACATATATTTACCCCGCGGTATGATTTGTGGTAATCATCATAACCTCTAGACGAACTCGTATAACGATCGCCAGAAGTTGAATACTTCGACCTCGACTCTATAGTGCTGGAATACGGCGGAAATCTGCCTCTACTCGACCCGTATCCTCCGCGTCCTCTATCGGACGGTCCGCCCCACGACGAACGACCGGATCCGCGATAGGACGAAGAAAATCCGCGACCGCGGGTCATAGCGACAGCTTGACTGAAACTAAATGTGTATCAATCATAATTTTGGTCAAGTGTTAGTGTCAAAAAAAAAACTTGATTAGATTAAAGCACACAAATAGGACATAGTGTCCTAAATAAATAATTAAAAAAATTGTTTACCTTGGTCGGTAGTAACTCATGGTGGTCCCACTGAAATAAAAACATAAATGAATACCTCCATTTTTTTTAGGTAAACGGGAGGAAGCGCTTGGAGAGCTAACCAAACCAGCGAAAAGACGTTTTGGAAGGAAATACGCTTACCTCGACCGCAATTTATAAGATTATACCTAAACGTATCTTCGGCAATGTTCCCACAGGAATTACACACTATTTTCTAGTTCAACGATACAATTCATGCAGTACAATTAAAAAAAATTCGCTTAGCACGCCAACGCAATCAGAGAAAACCGACACCAACACGACAAACAAGCTTCTATTAACCGGATGTGGTTGTGACTTCGCAGCTGCGCAACAACGTCAAACGTTATTGATTTGATTAAAAACCAAGAAATTAAACCTAAATTATTGCTAAATTGCAATAAATTTAATTGATTTGACTCCGTGATTTGAAATCGGCGAATTTCTCACTTCACTTTCAAGACATATTTACCATTTAGTAGTATTGGTGTTGGTGAACCCCACCGGATATACCGTTTGAAATATTCCCGCGTCAATCAGATTGTACTGTATGACCGCAAATCGAAAATTGCTTGAGTGGAGTTTATTTGATTTTTAGTGGTTGGTTGGTTTACATGATTTGTAAATGTATACACACAATAACAATTATTTCATCGTGAATCTTCAAAAGCCAAGGCAAGGCAGTAAACTTGCACTTGAGAAGGACATATTGCCATCATACAGAACATCAGAATGAACCAATGCAAGAACAGGCTACGACGAACCAGGCGAAGCAGTCAAATACCTAATAGCAGAAAAGAAGCAGAGTATCTGCAAAAAATGATGCAGTGCAGATGAATTGCACGAAAGTCAAGGAGCAAAGTTTGCTCAACAGAAGTAAGAGTTCTTTAATTCCAAATTATCTTCGACGTCATCATCTAGACGAGGGAAGTTAGAGGTAGAAGCTGGAGTAGTAGAGGAATGAGCAAAGATTAATATACAAGAACCTAATGCGATAGGGGATGCAAGTAGAAAAGCCGCAACAGAGCACAGACTTAGCGAGTTCCAAGTACGGCGAAGAGAAACACTTAGCATGTACTATATGGTCTAAGATTTTATGGGAAACACATTTAGGTATACTTAAAAGCGCCCCCTATTGAGCAGCAGATAATGCACGCTTAGTGAAGTGACAGGCGGAAAACGCCAAACGTCAAGTAGCGGAAAAATCGTTTTTAGTTTTAGACATTTTCTATTTGTAATCGGTAGTAATTCCTCCGTTAACAGTGAATTTATTTTGGGATTTGTTTCGGTCTAGTTAATTTGTTGCTTGCGCGCAAAACTAAAAAAAAAAAAACTAAAAACGGTTTTTCCGCTACTTGACGTTTGGCGTTTTCCGTCTGTCACTTCGCTAAGCGTGCATTATCCGCTGCTCAATAGAGGGCGCTTTTAAGTATACCTAAATGTGTTTCCCATAAAATTAGCAATCTGTTGTATGTGTAGATCTGTGCTAATTGTTTGTGTTGGCCCTAACTCCTAATCATATTATGTGTATTGTTATACAGTTAAAATGACAATGTGAATTATTCATATTTTGAATATCCGACAATAAATATTATTAGAAGCAGAATCTGTTTTGGGCCAGTCAAAAAAATCCAGGACAGCTTTCTCACATGTAGCAGCTAGCCCTCTTTGAAGAATTCCAAGCAGACGAATGTTTACACTGTGATGAACTGATGATGTCATTGTCGATGAGAACATATACTCGACAGCAGAAAGAGCAATTATATCAATAGTGAAAAAAATGCAATTAGGAAACACGAAATGAACGGAATCAAAGGTTTTGTTATGAGCATATCGAATACCTACATTGAAAGCCTAGGTCATATAAACAGGCTCACGTTTAGTCCTTATTTCAAAGGAAATATTAAAGCATTCTTTTAAATAGCGTTTGAAAGAATGAGAAAAATATACAGCGATAAAGACATATCGTTTACAGGGACCTTTCAGTCCAACCATTATTTTAGATTGTGCAATAATTGCATTTTACATAAATTTTTCATTAATGTTAGTTGCATAATTACATTATAAATCCTTAGCTTTGTTGACTTTTAAGGGAATATTTGTTATTTTTAATATAATCACACTGCACACATTTTAAAACGTGTTTCATGCGTTAACATATGTGTCTTTATTGTTGGTTGTATATTTGCTCTTGTTACATTTTAAGTCCTGAGCTGTGTTAAAAGATTAATTTTAAGGTCAGGCTTGTTATTTATTGTTTAATCACACTGGTCACATTGTAAACCATGTGTTTCATGCCTTAACAGATGATTTTTAAGTATTTCTTGTTGCTGGTTACATAATTGCATTTTAAATCCTTAGATTTGTTTATTAAAACATGTTTTTTAGGAAATCTTTTCATTGGTTGCTCCAACATATTCACGATTTAACTATATTCAGCAAAGCAAGTATCTGATACAGACCAATTCTTCGTTGTATCTGTTACTCTTTTACTCGTGACCCGCTGCCGGACTGTGCGTAAGCTATACGAGAAGGGGATCCTCTACTTTACTACTTTTCATCTTAAATTATGGTAACCGAGGCTGGAGTAGAGCCACGCCATTTGTTTTTTTAATCACAATTGATCGTGTATGTGATTTAATATGTGTTTTTGTACTAACTTGTTGTATCACGTTTTCCTCTGGCATTTATGTTTCCTGTGTGTAGTTTTACGCATTTGTTGAACTGCATTTGATTCGATTACCTAATTATGTACAATTTGAAATGTTTTATTTGTGTATTTTCTCTTGTATGTTGTTGTCGTAGTTGATTTATTTAAAATTTAATGTACATATTTGTGTGGCTACATCGGGGGTTTTTGTCCCGAAGAAGGTTTCCCTGATATCGCCTTGTGTGCGTAATATGTTCTTTCTTTTTCATATGCGCAAAATTCGGCATTTTCATTCGTGTCATTCATATGGGTCGATTGCTACTGAGAATCAAAAGTATTAAATCGAAATCTTTTCTTAATGCTCCCCTAATTAATTTATATCAAAATTGTAAATAGGTTTCTTGTATGTAACTTGAAAAATTTTGCGTTTGATGCTCATGCCCTCATTGATTATTAATCTATTCTGGGAACCGGAGAGAATAACTAAACTAGAATTTAGTATTTGCGTAAAACTCGAATTTTTATTCCAATAATTTCACGGCGCGAGTGATATTTTAGTAAAAATTAGATTTATAATTATAATTTATAATTTCCTTAATTTCTCCGATTTTCCACAACAAAAAATTACAAATGAGCAGATGAATAGACACAAAATTTTACAATCTACAAAAAATTTATTTACAACTTTGCTGTAAAATAATTAGGGGAGAAAATATTTCAATATAAAGAAATTACCATTGAAAACCATATGGTGCGTAAACCGTTTCTACACCATGTATGTATACGACAACATGCGAGAAGGGATATGGTGTGAAAATATGTAATAATCCTGGATGTCCCCCAAGCTGGCACTGGAATCGTGACCGCAAATAACATATTGGGTTTCTGAATACCATAGCAGAAACAAAGACTTGTGTATTGTGTTAAGGAAAGACTGTTTGTTGAGAGAGGTGTTGAATGGAAGTGTTGAGGAGAACTCAGGCAAGGAAGAGAAGGGTATGCGATTATGAAGAGAAGAGCTGCTGACAGAGAGAAGCAGAGAGCGCAAAGGACCGTTGATGATAGCTGAATAGGTATGGAAAAATTTAAAAAAACAATTAACAGCCCTGTGATGTACTTATTAGAAACTTAACGTGCAAGTTACCTTAAGTTTAACGTTAGTGATACATCGCAGCGCTGATTGTCATATGGTTCATGCCCGCTTTTCGTGCGGAACAGCCTGTATCACATTCCACCTCGGCCGTGTATAATGCGCTCGCGCTGATGGGACTAATGTACTATTTTTGTGCAGGGAATAGTAATTATAATTAATGCAGCTGTTGCTGAAATAATTTACTTGCATCCACAAAAGAAGATTTACTTGCTTATATTCGCGCCATAAACCCTATCTCATAAAGCTGCCCTTTGAGATGGCGCCACCGGCGTACGATAATTGTAACCTCTATACGTCAATGAGTGAATCTTTAAGTAAAAGAGACGTAATGGTAGTTTGGGAGTGCTAGTGGTATTAAATAACATGTCCATAGAGACTCGCTCCAGTTCGGCCCTTTTTAAAAGGGCAGAACAATTAAAGCGTTGGGAAGAATCGGATACGAATCGCGAGTCGATAACGCCAAAGCAAAAACCTAAAAAAGTGAAATTCTCGTCCGGTTGTGTATTTCTGGCAGCGTGTGCCGCGGGTGACAAGGAAGAAGTGCTACGCCTAATCGAAAAGGGGGCCGATATCGACACGGCGAACGTCGACGGCCTGACGGCATTACATCAGGTAACTACCTAATTTCCGAGAATTTTAGGAATGGACGCCTTTTTCTAAAAGGGCGCACCTGTAGCGATGTTCCAATTTAAATTAAATCCACACCAACAATATGGCTCCATCAGCTGAGTAATTAAAAGTTGTCTCCTTTAATTGTTATCTAATTAGCCTCTTGGATGATAATACCTTTGTTACTCCCACATTATTTAACAGCTGTCATCAGTAATGTCAATGGCCTCTAATTAATAACAGTCTGTGATTGTGATCAAATTCAAATTACCGAGATCCAAAATTCGTAGCAAAGTGGCATTCGCACGACTCTCTAACTAAGAATCACGGTGCAGTGGTCATGGTAACCTGTTTGTATAATGATAAGATAGAGCTGGCATAACGAATTTACACTATCTAATTCCCTCGTTACATCTAATTAGTTTGCGATTAAATCGTGATCATCTAGGTCAAAACATATTTTCGATACAATTTACGAGGCTTATGTCATCTTTGCATTCACATAAAACAAGAAAAAAAGTGGAGGCATTTGTAAGAGTTTTCTATATATAACTTTGTACTAATAAGCAATTGAAATTTTAAAATAGACTCCGAATGTATAAATCAGTATTGGCGAGAAACTTGGGATTAATGAAATGCTTCGACCAGCTTTGACGTATTCCCCCCGGGTTTAAATTTAGATTACAGTTTTCTTCATTTTATTTTCCCAATATACGGAAGTACATACTCCGAGATCGATCACCAAAAAAAATCCTGCATCACTTAGCCGGTGTTAAACAGCTGTAGTGGAATGTATAAATATAAATTTATTTTATAACCGATGATCTTCGAATAATGAAAAGGATTTTTAAATTTAGGTATCGGGTAAGAGAGTGGCGGTGGATGTAAATGCATTCTTGTAATAAAGGAGTAAATTTAATGCATTGTCTAGACAGATAGACTGTAAAATGCCAGCTATCTTGACCGGGGACCAATAAATTAATTAGGTTTTATTTCTATTGGTGACTGCAGTTTAGGTGTTGAAGTTCGGTTGCATTGTGGTCTTTTTGCAGGTTGGGATTTGCATATCCACTCATCATTGATTAAGATGGCCTTGTATTTCTTTTTGTAATGTAACATCATTAACTCGATATGTAATATCCTGGATAATTGTGGTTTTTATACAGGAAAATGTTATTTACATTAGCATCAGTGTTTGTAAATAGAGTAAGTAGCCTGAGGTTCAACTTTACTTTGTTGCATTGTGATACCATTTTCCTTATTTTTCCTCAAACCATTAGAACGTGATAATAATGTGTAAATGATCATTGTGTAAATAGGTATCAGAAAAAGTATTGCTTAATGTTTTGGACTCACCAGCCGAATGTTGTCTGGGACCGGGAGGCAGTTGTACCTGAACTTGACTTAATCCCATTGAAGTAATAGTTTTAGTGTAAACAAAATAAACAACTTAATTTTGATATGAACACTAGTTGCAATAATAGTAAATACACTTACTCTTACCCGAGCTCTTACTATTATTTTACAAACAAAAAATATCAAAGTCTTATGATGTACATACCTATCAGATCCGTCACCAATAACCGCCATTCGTTACGTAACTTTAACAGAGTTCTGTAACCTACTCTTAAACAGAAAAGTCGAGGGAAAAGTATTTTTTACTATGACATATCACTTACTGCTTAGGTTTAGCAAAGGAGGAAAATTTTGTCTTTGGTTTTGTTTTAGACAGTCTTAAACTCGGTCTTAAATGTAGAGAGAGTGGTAAGTATTCATTATACGTAATGCTCGACAGCCACAATCCGATATACCTTCAGTCCCACCCAACTCGAATTACCGGGATTCCACTGTAGTGAAATTCGATTGGGGGGACACTTTCAAAATAGGTGTCCCATTTTCGACACTTATAACTAAGGTATCTTCGTAGTATTGTTAGTTGAGCGGTGTGTCCGAGATTGTGTCACTGTGGAAACTGCCAAAATCCCAATTTTTCTACAATTTCCAAAGTCTTCTAAGGACGACATGTGAATTCTAGGTACTTCTAGTGACTGCCTCATTCTGCACATGAATTACGTTGGCTGCCCAGGAATTCCATTGACTGCTAAGTCGCTGCTAACTAGTTCCATAGACTATCGACGATTTCTCCAGACTGCAATATAATTTATAACGCATTTTTGAAAAAATACGCTGTTATATTCGTTATGGCTGGCTGGCCGGCTGTCGGGTGAGATCTCAGCAACTATAATAGCTAGAGACTTCAAATTATCACTAAAAGTGTGGTAATATACAAACACTTATTTATTGCCTCATTCTAATCTAGTTTGTAATGTTATTTTAATGTCATTTCCTATATTGTCATTACCAATAATTTTGTTGAATAAAACCGTTTATTCTAAAGGTTTTATCTATATCAAAAAGCTTTCTGCTATAGTGTAGATGTACAGGCTCTAGTCTATTTTGAGTTAGATTACTTGTAAGATCGATAGTTTAAGAAAATAATTTCGATATGGTTTTCGTAGGTGCTATAATTTTACCGTTAGATAGCGCTACCAGTATAAAAACTTAATTATTTACTTTGTCATTTGTTTTATAAACTAAAGACCTACCCTCAATTGAAATTAAATAAAATTAATTATTTAACGCAGCCAAAATTACTCGTGAGATCAATAATTTTAAACTTCGCTAATAAAATACTGGACCTGTATTACCAAAAATGCGCTTTAATCATGCATATGCTGATTTACAACTTGTTTGATATGACTTTGTATCTTATTGATATTGTTATGTAATCGTTATACACTGTGTTCCAGAAGTAATGTATAAAATCAGTAGTAATTAAATGGAGGCGTGTTCGAAAAAACGGATCTGTTGATTGTAATTTTTTAATAAGGTAGTGTAAATTTATATATACAGGGTAATAGAAAAATAAGGTTAATATCATGAATCAAAAAAGTAATATAGGATCAGCCGAACTGGTTCTTGTGTACAAAAATACTCATACATTACTTTATAGGTGTGTCATGTGCTCTTTTTGGGTCAAACTAAAAATTGTAAAATCAAAATTTGAAATTCGCTCGCATAAGAGATACAGGGAAAAATATAAAAAATTGTCAGGTTTAAAATGACCCTATATTTTTTTAGGTAAAAGAGATCCAAAAAATTTGTATTGCGAAGGTTTTGGTATAATGATTGTCGGATAGTCTGTCGACTTTAAAATAAATATACGGTGTCAGGTAAAGAAGATATCGGATCTAACCTCATTTTTTTACTAGCACACCCTATACATATATTTTAATGTAAAAAAGATAGCATATTAAAGTCTGTCTTCAAAAATATGTCACACCAGGGATACTATTAAAAAAGATACAGGGAATTTAAAAAAAAACAAAATTTAAAAAATGTTCAAATGAAAAAAAATAGATCATGTATATTTTTGGAAAGAGAATTTATTATGGTATTTTTTAGGCTAAAATATACAGGGTGTTCTATTTAAAAAATGCGGTTAAGTCCAATAAGTTTTTTACCTGATGTTGAATATTTATTTTGAAAATTTTGAAATTCAACAATCATTTTCATGAAACTTTGGTAATAAACATTTGTTTTCTATTTTAACTAAGAAAATATAGGGTCATCCTGAAATTGGCAATTTTTTTATTTTTCTCCTTATCACTGAAGCGAGCGAATATTTTCAAATTTTGATCCTACCATTTTAAGTTTAGTCCAAAAAGTGCACCTATAAAAGTGTCGAAATTGGGGCACCGTGTACATGAAAGATTATGTAAAATTTCAAAATGAAATTAAAAATGTGTTTTCATTTAAAAAAAGAAGTCGTTATAACTTATTTTAGGGCTCCCTAGTATACATAAATTTACAATAAAAAAAAAAGGATTAGTTGTTACTGCTATCAACAAAGTAATATGAGCGTCTTTTGAAACTTTAAAACTTAAAACGTTAAAATCAAAATGTTCACTCGTGTAAGAAATACGGGAGAAAACCACAAAATTGTTAATCTCAAGATGACTATATTTTTTTAGTTAAAAGAGTTGCAGAGAAATGTTTTTTTATAATGATTGTTAAACAATCTACCGATTTTAGAGTAAGTATACGGGATCAAGAGATAAAGGTATCAGATCTAACCTTATTTGTGAAATGGAACACTCTGTATATTGCAATCCGTATAATATTAAATTTTCTTTTCAAAAATATCGCACAAAAGAATTAAAAAATTCAAAAATCGTTTTGAAATTGTTTTTTAATATCATGGTGTGTTATATTTTTAAAGAGAATTTAATATACTATGTTTTTTGTACAGGGTGGTTCAAATTTTGTATGGAAACTTCCTTTATTTTAAAAGAGCTCAGTTTTAAAGAGAATATTACTGGCACGAACATAATTCAGTCGATCTGTAATCGTTTTATCGCCAGGGGGCGTTTCTCGAATTTAGTCGATTTCTTTAACGTCTTTCTTATCATTAAAGATAATTGACCTTGGCAAAATTATTCTTAGATCACTATGTAGAATCCATCGCGAAACACACTTTTAATACAGGGTATTTGTTTTTTTTTTTTTTTTCATACGAACCACCCTATATATTTGTAAGTTTTTGAAAAGAGCGTAAAATTTCCTACATTTTTATGTAAGAGGTGGGTACCAAGACTGGAAATTTTTGTTAGATGGGTCTGAACACAGTCAACTTTGGGAACCACTGATGTACAGAGTTCTTAGATAGATAGATCACGTGTTCCGACTGCCTATATTTGGCGTAGTGTTATTTAATCTCTGGCTTATGGTACTGTCGGTTTGTTCAAGACTGTATTGGAACATCTATCCCTCGATCTATCCCTTTAACTATTTCAGTAGGTATTGTGTCTACGGGTTCGAGGTTCCCCCATTGATTGAGGTTTCTAGTTGGCGTTTTCTACTTTCCAATGCGAGACATTTTGTTTGCTTTAATTATAGGAACCTACCATTTGGATTAAACTGTTCCACAAATAAAGCAGTTGTCCACTGCGTTTTTTTTTAGTACATTCGTTTTGTTTGCGTTTATTAGTAGAACAAATTTCGAAGAAATTGGTTCACAAAAGGAAGTTGTATGTTGCGCATGCGCAGTACGATTTTTGGCACGTTCATTTTGTTCGCTTTTATTAGGACCTACCATAAAAATTTCGATCAAATTGCTCCACAAATAAGCAAGTAGTACCATACAAATTTCGAATTGCTTCACAGATACGGAAATTTCAACAGTATAGGGATGTGCTTATTGCAATAGTAGTGGTGCGTGCGGCAAAAACGAGTGGTTTGATGCTAAATCACCACCTAAATTATGAGAAAGAGTGCGCGGATGCGAGCCGTAATCAATCGCATCCCAAATGAAAATTAGTAGTAGTGCACCACGCCACCACTATAAGATTGTGACTACACTGCAACGTGAAAAAATCAGATCGGGCTTAGAAATTGATGTCTTCGTGTGAACGTAGCGTTATGTGTTATCTATTTATTCAGATGTTTTGTTCTCATTTGGTGGTGGATAAAACGCACCCTACGGTAATTTACAGGTGGTTGATTTAACTTCGCTTACGGCTCAACGCGAATTATCGGACGGTTCTTCCAGAACAAGCAACTTCCCGCTACTTTACATTTTTAAATCAACACCCATCCCTAGACGCAAACCTTTTCCACCAATCAAGTAACTCTACACAATGCAATCAGATTCATTCACGGCGATAAATTTTTCGCTTATTGTGCCAATCCCACATTACACAACAGCCCCGGACACACGTAAGTACCAAAAAATTCAATAAGTCCTGCCAAATAATGAAACTTTTTATATAGTGTGTCCACTTATTCGCAGCATATCTGAAAGTTATTATTAACATTACGTTATTCTTCATAAAAAGTTTTTCATGATCCTAAACCTAAAACGCAGCCATCAGGTGTTTTTAGTTGTATACAAGACCATTAGTACTCATAAACGCTTTTAGAGACTTACCATTATTAAATCGTATTTCAAGGCTCTTAAGAATTTTCAAACGCCCTTAAACGCTACCTCTGAAAAATTCTTAGAGAGAAAATCCTCAAAATTTTGAAAGGGTTTGAAGAACTAAAAATTTTTATGGGAATCTTTTAGACTCTTAGAGGATGGGTTCATCGTAATGGCAACGAGACAAAATCGATCACTAAAGTAGTGTCACTTTTCCTTACCACCTAAAGTCGCATTTTTGCAATAGAAAAATTTTGGAATAGACTATACAAAATTACCCTTATTTTTTGTACATTTTGAGACAAATATTTTTTCAATTCACTCTTTAATGTTAGTTTATGAACAACATAATTTGGCAATACGTGTGTTTTTTAACATAAAAATAAATCCAAAATTGGCGTTTGAAAATATGAAAAAAATCATTGCAAAGTATCCCTAGAAAATGCGTGTTTCTTCTCATTTTAATATTGTCAATATTTAGGTAATCCTCGTGTTGATTTTTAATCTATTAACAAATATTAACCGATCACTTAATCTTGAAACCGTCCGACATGTAACTAATAATGAACGAGTTCCTAGAAAATAATCTATTGCCAAATTCCAAAATAAATCGGTGAAGTATGCCAGTTCGCTTCATTTCCTGAATAGTTGTATGTATTCTCAATTTCTTTTAGTTAATTCAATTGTCATATTTTGGATGATTTATATATGACCTCGTTCCTGGCTAATTTTTGTTTATCACAAAGAATCACTGATAATTGCACCAGACAAATATGTTTAGTCAATATTTGGATATTGGTCTTTTAGACCGCTATATCAATACTGGATACATAGGTGCATTTTAATTTTTTTAAATTATACACAACAATTTACGCGATATTTTTATTTTTTAGGCATGTATAGACGACAACTTGGATATGGTAGAGTTTTTGGTGGAGCATGGTTCCGAAGTAAACCGAGGTGACAATGAAGGTTGGACGCCGCTACATGCGACTGCCAGTTGTGGTTTTTTGTCGATAGCCAAGTATTTGATAGAACACGGTGCGAACGTCGCCGCCGTCAATAATGATGGAGAGCTACCGCTTGATATTGCCGAATGTGAGGATATGGAGGACCTTCTTCAAAGCGAAATCGATGAACAAGGTGACATAGAGTTCGTTATCGAATATTTGCTTTACCCAGTTCGTTTAGGTGTTGACTGTGATGCTGCGAGATCTGAGGAGGAAAGACAAATGTTTGGCGACGCGAAAGAGTGGCTGGCGAATAATTCTAATCTGGTAGATTCGATTCATCCAAAGACCGGCGCGACAGCCTTACATGTAGCGTCGGCGAAAGGTTATGTGAAAGTCATCAAGTAAGTAGTCACAGGAATCGTGGGGTTTTCTGAGACTACGCCAATCATTTCAGGCTTATACTTCAGTGTGGCGCTGATGTGGATAAACAAGATGTTGACGGATGGACGCCTTTACATGCAGCTGCCCATTGGGGCCAAAAAGAATCCGCTAAAATATTAACTGAACATTTTGCAGATATGGATAGTAAAAACTATGTCGTAAGTATTAGCTGTCAGGTGCACGTACGTTACACTGCCACCTACTTAAACTTGATTTTTTCGCGACATTCTAGTTCCGATTTCATACTATCAACTTTTGAGATTTTTAACGCTCCGTTGGTGGTTGGCGCAATACTATTGACACTACATGCTAATTTAAAAATATTTAAACTTTTGTCAGTCTTTCAATATACTTTAAACATTGTAAAGAATACATACCGTTATCTTCTCACGAAATTTTTAGAAAAATCGTCCTTCGCGTGCTTTGAGAATATGCAGAAATACGTAAGTTTTTCAGACTCCAGTGCGACGAACTTAACTTAAATAAATATTAGCGGAATCATAATGGTAATTTAACAGAAAAATAAATAAAAATACAAATTAATAAATTATATATATATATTAATATCCTGAGAGCGAATGACCGTAGCAGCAGTGGGCGGAATGAAACATACGGGCGAACGGACCTGGGCAGTCACCTCGCGCCTAGCCGAGGTGGGCGATAGCAACGGTCTTGGGTGTGACCTCAACGGCAGCTCCAGGAATCAGATGGGTTCAAAAGATGGCGGCAGTCACTTATGACAACTTAAAAAAATTACAGAAAACTCCCTAGCGGGAATCAAAGCATCAAAACACCAATCGGCGGAAGCAGCGGGAAAGCGAATAATATCCCCCCCCTTATAATTAGTGAAACGGAAAGTAACACAAAACTTACCTTGAACTTAACAGAGGAGTAGCTACAAGCCATCGGAAAAATATGGGACTGTTGTCAAAGTTTTTTAAGCGCGCACCTAAAAGATGTACTCTCGACTAAATCGGCGGTTATCTGTAACCCATTTAAATAGTTACGGCTAATTATATTTCTCTTCTACACTCCAAATAAAACCTCCAAATACGAAAGTCTAGCAATGCCGTTTTGTTCCTTGGAATAATGGCAAGCGGCGCACTCGGTTATCACCTGATATTTTTGTATACCATTAGAAAACTAAAATCGATTAATTGTTTATTAACAAACCTAAAACTTATGAAAATTGATTCTCTCTCTTCCCTGGCACGAGAGCTTTCGGCGGCTGTAAAAACAATTTAAATATTCCTACAGCAACGGTTGCAAAACGGATCGATCGTTATCGACGGTAAGACAAACAATTAAACAAAATGAAAACGAAACTACTTAGTAACGAAGCGCCCAACTTAAAACGCTTCTAGATACCGGGTGTTCAGCAAAACTGGCGGACTTCACAAATATACAGTGTGGTCATAACTTCGGGTATGAAACTTCAGGACAAAAAGCGGGTGCCACGTTACTTCGGTACACATAACTAAGAAAGGTGGTGTGAGTTGATTGTTAATCATTTTCAGGATATGCAGACTTCGTATTCACAAATAAGAAACTTAGGTCCGTTTGCACAAACCGATTTCATTTCTGTTTAATCCTGATCCGAGTGTTAGGAACTGGGATGGGTTAATACCAATCGCTATCTAACACCCATTATTCTACTTTAAGGTACCATTCCGATCTTGGCAGTCCAAAGTCAGAGTGAGTCGCGCTGCCAAGATCGGAATGATTCCTTAACATTCAGATCAAAATTAATCTTTTATTAACACCACATTATTTTTGTGCAACTGGACCTTAGTTTTCCAGGCGCCAGAAAAATTTCTACGAAATCTAGTCTATATCTTTCTTCTTTCTAAAGTAACCACTCACCTCTCTTACTGCTGCGTCTTGTGGACCACCATTATCTCTTTCTCGTTCAAAATAATGAATAAGATTAGAAATAAGTTGCTTACTTTTTCTTGGTAAACCCGATGGCATTTTTGGGTTACACACCTTTGGGCGCAGAAAGTCGCAGTGAGACTTACACAAGTTATGCTTGTATAATTGTTCGTTATGAAATTGGCGGATTTTTTATTGACTAATGTGGCAAAACGCGATACGGTAGCAAACCGTTTGTCAAATTTAACATGTCACAATGTAAACGTAAACTGCCACAATTTTGATCGGCAGGTAACCTAAAAAAAAAACCTATTCGCTAAAGGTTTTTGGTTTTATTTTTTAAACCACGCCCAACTCTGCCTCCAGAACCTATATTTTGTAAAATACATTCTAAAATAAACACGTAATTCCAACGTTTATTGTGGTTTAAAATGATTTTTTTTATTTTGTTAATAGGTTGGCATTACAATGTTCCCCAAACACAGAATACTACTCTATACAGGGTCATTCTTGACGAGGGTCAGTTAGAAAGATATGGAAAACCGTTGAAAATGAAAATAAACTGATAAGTTCTTTAAGGGTCTTGGTACATGATGAATTGAACTAAAATATTTTCAAGATGGTGCCACTTAAACGTCTAGGAAAAAGGAAAACAACGGTGAAGAACAAAATGGGGGGTGCCATTTAAAAAAATGGAGTTACCGAAATTTAAAGTTTAAAAGTTGAGAGCTGTGAAAAAGTGACGTAGTCTCACTTTTTTAGACGGTTTTGTATACCATAAGAAAATTCGATCTTTCCATAATAAAGCATTGAAAACTGTTTTGCAATATCTCTCACCGTTTTCGAATAATACATTTTTAAAATTACCCCTGCAAATTCAATTTTTGACATAAAAACTTGAATATCGACGAAGCCCTTGGAGCAAAGGGTCAACTATGGGGTATCGTTGTACTCCAAATTCGACGTAGAATCGGAAAATGTAGAAAAAATAGGGGATCCCTATTTAAAATAATAAAGTTGATGGCCACTTCCGGTATTTCCGGAAGTGGCTCCATCTTGAAAATATTTTAGTTCAATTCATCATGTACCAAGACAAGGGTCTTATCAGTTTATTTTCATTTTCAAAGGTTTTCCATATCTTCCTAATTGACGTTCGTCAAGAATGACCCTGTATATCACAGGACTAAAGCACAAGCACCCAGCACACTTAGTTCCTGAGTATAATATACTATTTCAAAATGGCGATCGTAAATTAATGTGATGCTACTGTCATTTTTGACATGAACGTCCTGTTATATTCCTATTGACTTATTAAAAGCCCCTTATTATATCCCAGTTTTTGGACTAATTATATTATTTTTGCATGTGTTTTTAGTGATCATATTTCAGGGTCAGACTGCTTTCGACGTTGCGGACACCGACATGTTTCAATATTTGGAGGATCTCCAGAAGAATCAAAACAAGGAGGAAGTATTAAATAGGAGGCAGGCTAAGAAGCGATCCGAGATTTCGGCGGAACCCGAAACGCCGACGAAACTCAAGAGGATCGAAGTCGAAATCGAGGAGAAGGAAAAGGATATTTTGGAAATCGGTACGTTAACATTTATCGCAATTAAATCGTACATGTGGCATTTGATAAAACCGTTGTATCGTATAAAGGTGGAATGGATGTCTCCAGTGAAAGTGAAACAGAGTCTGACACCAGCAGTAGTGATACGGAGTCCAACTCTGTTAATAGTACGGATGAGGGTAACATCTTCTGGTTCTTTTTTTTTCTCGGCGCATTTACGTTTTTGTCATTTTTTCAGTAGTTTCGTCTTGCACCCGTATATTTGAATACTGCTGATGCCAAAAATATGTCTTGCATGAATGTTCACTTTATGTAATTGGTCACCTTCCTTGACCTTTGCCAGGTCAATTAAATTTAATTGATAATTGTCACTTACTTGCACCTGCAACCAAAAAAGTAGAGCACAAATTTAATGTGCGCATGCAGTAACCTGCTTTTGCATGCTTTAAGATCTTCACTTCTAGACATTACCAGGTGGTAGTAATGTTAGTTTGTTCTAATTATTCCATCAATTCTGGTTTAGATATATAATATACAGTATACAGTGTGTTCTAACTAAAATTGCTAACTTTGTTATTACTAGTGATAGAACGATATCACTTTTTTTTGCCGATACGATATATCGGCCGATACCGATATTTACGTGCCGATATATCGTATCGTATCGTATCGGCAAACAATAGATGGCGTTGGGTAATATTTACGAGCCTAAAAGAAATAGACTAAATGCAGATAGGGCTGAAATGTTAGTGTTTTTGCATCATAATATCAAAAAGTTAAATTTTAAGTATTAAGTATATACTGTATTTAGAACCTGCTATATTAGGTATATTTTTTGTTGTTTTTTTTTTAACTTTTTTAGTAAAAATGTTAACTTTAGAATAAAACATTTTATTTTCTTTAATAAAGTATTTCATTTATGCACTGAAGAGTTAAAACAGCTAAAAAAATTGTTTGCCGATATATCGGCGCAATTACCTTGCCGATACGATACGATACCGATAATCGGCAACAATTGCCGATATACCGATATCAATATCGGTATCGTTCTACCACTAGTTATTACACAAGGTCGGTTCAATTAGTAAATGTGTAAGCGGAAAAACAATTTAGCATATTCAACAACAAAACAATTTTTTAATGGGACACCCTATATATTTTTACATACACGTTGGGCAGAAAAATAGTTGCTGTGCTGGAAGCCTAACATGACTTATATAAAAGAACATGTGTAAATGTCACGCAACATTTCAGAGAAACAAATAAAACTGTCACCCAGTATTTATAATTGAAAATTATTGCTCGACTTCCCAAACTAACACGAAACTCAAAATTGACTGGGTTTGTAAACACATGTGGCAATTTTTTTGCAAAGAATTACAATAACCATGAATCCAGAGCTGGGTACTGCTCGCGAGCGTTTCGCTCGAAAAAGCGGTTACGCGCGATCCGCTCGCGAGCACCTTTCGGAGCGGCCGCTTGGTGCGCGATTTTTTTTTTCGCTGCGCTTTTAATCGCCCTCAAGCGCTGATGGATTAAGCGCCGGTCACGAGCACTTTTTCCGAACGCTCGCGATAAACCACTTGAGCACTTTTAGGAGTGCTTGGGACTCGCAAGCAGTTTCTCTTTGCAAAACAACTCGATGCTCGCGAGCATTTTTGAGAAAATTAGAGTGCTTGTCGCTCGAGCGGTTTTTTAGAACGCTCGACTCGGCTCTGCTTGAATCTAAAATGAAACCCCTAAGCTTCCTAGAATTAGCTACTTGAAACAAATTTAATGTTCATCAAATAACCCCGTAATGCCCCAGGAATTAACATGTTATTGGTTGACAATTAACATGTGCAATGTGCATCTTTCTATCATTGCAGCTAATTCGTTAATTTATGTAGATGCCAACTGCTTACGCAAGATTGCGATTGCTTACACTAGAAATTGACTTAATTGTGAAGTGACATTGTCGATTTTATTTTTGTAGATAAGAAGAATAGGGTAAATTCATTAACGAATAACGAAGTAATTACGAATAACGACGAAGAGGCTGTGAAAATATCTGTAAATACCGCCGCCCCTACTATTCCGCCGAAACCGTTGGCCGACAATAACTCGGACGACAATCTGCCGACGTGGAGGAGGCCTGTTACACGACAAACCAAAGTTGACCCTATCAAAACTTCTAGCTTTAGTGAGTATAAGTATTCGCTTTGGCTAATTTGATATAAGAATTTCATGTTTTGACGCTTTTGTAATTATATTATAGTGTATTCTAAACTTTAGGGTTTGTTCAAAGTGAGACTAGAATTCTCCTAATGAAATACACAGTAGTGATACTCTGAGGTCATTTAATATTTGGGAGTATCGTTCAATTTTTTTTTTGTCTATTGTATGATAGTTGCAATGGGGGCACCTTTGAAGAACGCTAAAGTTTAGATGCATGTTGTTCATAACAAGGTAGTTTATGCGCCATTTTGTGTGAAAAAATAATAGGTAGCTTCAGTATCCATACTGGATTTTTACGGAATGAGATAGAGGACAAAAAAAGAAAAATTATGACGTGTCACATTCTACTCTTTTACGTAAATTTACAAGAATGTCAATTTTACATTCATTCCTCAACAAAACATCCACAGGTATCTAGATCTTGCTGACTCAACATAGCTATGGACTGCAACAGAGAGTGAGGTAGTGAAATCAGAAAAATGAGGTTTATTACGCACTAAATTTGGTTTCGCGGAGCAAATTCAAACCAAAAAGCCAGGGAAAAAAAGATCCAGCAAGAAAAAAAATCTGGCATAACACACAAATACTAGAAATAAATCGGTGACGTGACGTTATTAAGCTCCCCAGATACAATCGTGAAATCGATAAAAATGGCAACACGAGACAACAGCTAACAACTTGTAAACTGATAAATTGCATGTACCTAAAGAACATCAATGGGCATGACTTTGTTTCAACATTGTTCCTCATTAATTTAACACGGAAAAGTGTAAGCCAGAATGCCAGCAGTAGCTATTCAAGTTAAAGTAGACAATCATACATACAATCCCGCATTTTAAACGTTAAACATGACGTTTTAGACAGAAAATGAGTACAATAGAAAGTTTTCTTTTTGATTTATATGGAGGTCACGGTATAGTTGGTGTGTTGATTTGTTAAATTCTAGGAGCATGGTGATTTCTCTTCTGTTTCTAGACTCGTCAGTGGCTTTAATTCTGGCAGAATGTGTACAGAGTGTACCAAATTGCTTGTTTCGACGCTTCTCGGGGATATTTTGAGAACTAAAAGAGACACGAGTGATGCGGTTTGCATTTCTCATAGTTACTTTTCAAACCTGCCTGACGACCAACGTGATAAATAGGAAAACTGCTATTCAGTCTTGATAATGTAAATTAAATGTAGGACATGGAAATACTCCAAATAATAGTATTTTAATAGAATTTGGTGATTTATCTTATTCATTTCAGATTTTATAAATCTAAAGGTTAGTCTCTGTAATCAATGAGTAAGCCATAGACATCGGTTTCAGTCAGATTTAAGATAAATGAGCAAATTCTATTAAAATAACTACTTACCACAAGATGGCGCAATTTCTCATAGACAAAACTAGTTGATTAATTTAAATAGTACAGACTGTAAATGGTTATTTTCTATATTTTTCCAACAGGAGATCGGAGCAGTACGGGTGAAAACGCTGCTAATAACGAAAACGAAGTATTATTAACCAGGACAAATAGTTTCCAAAACGATCCTGTGTAAGTATTAACGAACAATAATCTTCTTTACTAACTCCTACGCAAAATGACGCAAATATTTAACGATTACATATTAACAAATAATTGATTTTTGCTTTTTATTACTTATTAATTAAGCTTATTGCTTTCATCTTGCAAGGGAGCCATATTCTAACAAGTTTCATTGTTCGGTAGAAATTTCGTCGATTTTAACAAATTTTCAAATATTTTTTGCTTCTACTTTCTTTATAATCTTTTATTTTTTAGGGTTAATAATTAATACTACTTTAGAATGTATGTAACATTTTCTTTTTGTAGCATTGTAGCACTAATTTTTATTGGCGCAATTTTATTTCAATTGCAGATTAAATTCTTACTAATAATTAGAGAAAGTATTTTAGGCGTTCTACACAGTATTAACAATTCGATATAGTTAGTGTCAGATAGCGTATGTTCTAAAGTAGTATAGCTGAATGCATCTGAAGCTGACACTTGCTTGCATGTTTAGGTTCTACACGAAATATCAAGCGCTGCGTGCACGCATTCGGGCCAGCTCGTTATCCCAGAACAATTCCCAATCCTTACGCTCCCAATCCCCATACATTATTGCTCCCTCTAACAATGTCGGGCGGCAAAGCAGGTATGCACGTTATTAACTTATTTTCTAGTTATTTATTAATGCTACGTTTTTGCATGCGATTAATTCGTATTTTATGTTACCGTCAGTTTTTGCTTGCTGTGCATGCTTTGGGTGTTATTAATCGTTCAATTTCAGTATTACATTTCACAAGGGTCATTCTGGAATGTATCGAGCAACTGTTGCTTTTAAAATGGAAGACTCGGATGCATGATTCTATTTTGTTCATGTCTTTATTGATCATTCCTAGCAATTAATACCGACTGTCGAACAGAGTACTAAAACTTTCCATGGTCCACACAATCTGATATTAAAAAATACTCACTCCTACCAGAAAATGTAACTTTCCCGGTTTTTGTGTTTGAAAGTATCGCAACGTGTTTCAGTTTGACCCTTATTAATGATTGTTAGTTGTAAAATGCTAGTACAAGTATTCCCAGTAATAATACAGGGTGGTCAGTGTGTAAGGAAGTTGGATATCTCTGAGTGCATACGAAAATTCGTGTTGATTTCCCCTTTGGGAATACGACACCACCTTTGGACTTCTAGCAAGTAAAGCCAGATATTGTACCATGTGGCAGAAAACCTCTACTTTTTGTATTAAAAAAAGAATGTTGTTTGACAGCTGCTTCTCAGATTCAATCGGTTGTACAGGGTGAGTCAACGATTGCGCGGAGTAACTTAATGCCTTGAAGATAAGATTTTTCAGAGTGCTTTTGTATTATGATATGGTTGAATATTCTCCACATTTTAAAAATATTTGGAATTATACCGGGTGCGCCCACAAAGTAGGGCGCAAAATGGTACATTTTTTTAAATAGAACCCCCTGTATTTGAATGCATTTTTGAGTTCTACGTGTAATTGTACGTCTTTTTTATTATATGGTTAATATCCGAAAAGCTAGTAGTTTTAAAGATAATTCAATTTTTAAGAAAAATTGGGCATTTGCATCAGTATATATTGTCAAAATTTTTACTTAAATTTTGATTCCAGGTTTTATATCTTTTATCCTGGGTTAAGTAAAAGTCAAATAAATACATCTACTATAAAACATTAAAAAAATAGCTTTCAGGGTGTTTTTTTTCTAGATCCAAAGTTACAAAACTTCATATTAAAAAATCTCACTTTTTTTAAATGGATCACCCTGTATATGTTTCTGCCATCTTTTAACTCCTCCAAAAATGCCACTTCACTATTATGTAAATTACATATAACTTATTTAAGGTTAGAATATAAAACCCAGGAAAACCAAGATATTTCGAAAACCATCAGAGATAGGTATAGGAGATTATTATCAAAAGTTGAAGATTTTTGGAGGAGCTAAAAGATGACAGAAACATATACAGGGTGATCCATTTAAAAAAAGTGAGATTTTTTAATATGAAGTTTTGTAACTTTGGATCTAGAAAAAAAACACCCTGTAAGCTATATTTTTTATGTTTCATAGTAGATGTATTTATTTGACCCCAGGATAAAAGATATAAAACCTGGAATCAAAATTTAAGTAATAATTTTGACAAATATACTGACGCTTGCAAATGCCCAATTTTTCTTGATAATCGAATTACAGTCAAGTCCGGCTATAACGAACCCTTACTTGTCTTAGAAACAGGTTCGCTATATCCAAGGTTCGCAATATAAGAAAAGACGCAAATTCGATGGCCAAAGTACAAATCCTCAAAAAAGTTCGTTATAGCCGGGAGTTCGCTATAAACGGGTTCGTTATAGACGGACTTGACTGTATCTTTAAAACTACTAGCTTTTCGGATATTAACCATATAATAAAAAAGACATAAAATTACACGTAGAATTCAAAAATGCATTCAAATACAGGGGGTTCTATTCAAAAAAATGTACTATTTGGGCGCCTTATTTTGTGAGTGCACTCTGCATAATAACAAATATTTTTTAAATGTGGAGAATATTCAACCATATCATAATACAAAAGCACTCTATGGAAAAATCTTATCTTCAAGGCATTAAGTTACTCCGCGCAATCTTTCACTCACCCTGTACAGTGTTCTATGTTGGTGTTTTTAAAGATACAGAGTTGCGGTTTTCGCGCCTCTTTTTTATGAAATGTTTAATACCACAAACAGAATCAATGTAGTTACGTTTGTTAGATACAGGGTGAAATCGAAAAGTTTGACTTTTTGGGATGTTATCATATCGTACTATGTGAGATTTTAGACATTTTTACATAGAAACCCAGTGGCGTACTAAAAAAAATGTTCTACTACCGTTTCTGAGATTTAACCACGAACTTATAAATTAAGATGAACTGCTTATGCTGAATTGACAAATGACACCTACATGGGGGCAGCCATGATGTGCACTCACTTGGCGCGAAATTCAAATCAACTAATAAACAAACATTAACCTCACGTTTCCTAAATAAATTACTGTGACACATGTCATTTTCCCAATGTTTTCCAAGGCTGCAATAGTCTCAAAACTTGAGCACTAGGAAAATTCCCCTAGAAAATACCTAAAACATGCACATCATGGCTGCGCCCATGCTAGGGCCATTTCTACCTCTATGCAACTGTTTGATCAGCAGTCCATCTTAATTTATAAGTTCGTGGATTTAACCCAAAATTGGCATTTTTTAAATGCAACATCTTGTATATTTTAACGTCAATTTTTTCTGCTATTGACCTGCAGTTTTGGTAGTAAATGCCTTATAGTAATAGCCCCTGCGTGACGAGATACCTCAGTTTGTCCGGCTATCGATTTAAATTTTAGTCTTTATCGCCTTTTATGTAAAGATTGGTTTCGTAGGAGGCTTACTGTGAGTGAATTTTTTGCACCTGGGCAGCTTGGGCTATAGATGGCATTGAGTGTCTGGTTCATTTAAAAAGGTGGTGTATTCCACTTTTTTTATTAGTCTAATCAAATGGATAGATTTTGCTGTGGTTACAATTTGTGTTTCTAAGTTAATTTCTACCAATCACTAAGTTCGTTCAGTCTGAACGAATTTGATTAAATCTTTAAAAAAACATTTTCTGTGGCTAGCACAGATACCATCCGCATACCTACGCATGCGCGTTCTGCCCAAAAGCTTTGGTTCCAATCGGTTCAGTCGTTTAGCCAGAAATGAGAGTACAGACGAATTGACATCATCGAGATTTGGTTTGATTGGGATTCCTGGTACTTCAAAACGTATACTAGGTACTTACCGTAAAAAAGTGGAGGGTCATTTTTTACTCCAATGCAATAGCTCCTTTACTAACATGTGGGTGTTAAAAAACAATGTGTCAAATGTTTCCAAATTGAAAATGAAGCAAATTTTTAGTAACTTTTAGCACCTAATTCACATATATGACACAGGTCTTGGAAAATATTTTAAGATTCTTAGGACTTTTATGTACCTGATATTGGTAGAGATTTCCAACTTTTTGACACCTAAAGCCATTTCTCATACCAGACGACCACGCAGATATAAAAAATTGTTAACATTTTTAACAGGGTGAAGCAAATTTGTTAACTTTTTTTAGCGAAGTGCCATAAGCTAAAATCTGATTTGCTGTTTTCATTCTTTGTTTTCAAAATCAGCAGATCAAAATTTCATTCCCTGCAGGTTTGTGCCATTGGTTGATTATTTAATAATAAATTGTATATTTTATACTATGTGCCCTCCTAGAAAATCCCAGCTCTTTTGTACGCAAACACTGTGGCTTCTATACCGGGTGATTCTCAAAAGTGGCTCTCTCCTATAATTTTGGTACTTTTTAAGGTAAAAAAATGAAATTTGGAATAAAATAAAAAATTATACAAAAATAGGCCCTCTGTCAAAAATGGCAAGTAGCATGTCATTGTACTCAGAAGTCTAAATAAACAAAACAATACAGTCCCATTTAAAAATCAAATTATTAAGCAAATTTCCGGCTAAACCGAATGTGACAAAAAACAACTGAACTGAACTGTTTAAAATGTTTTGTTTGGAAGGTACGTACCCAATAGTCCCACATAGTAAAATCGTACGAAAAAACTGTTCAGCAGTTGACCGCCAAATTTGATGAAATTCCGACCACTTTTATCCTTATCAAGAAGTGTAGTTGGAATTTTTGTTTTACAGAAACTAATTTTTTCATGTTAAAAACCACCAGATGTCAAATTTCAGATTAGAATTCTTTTGCACTCCCGTTTTAACAGTGGGTTTGGAAATATTTTTACAAAATCACAAATGGCATGCCCAAAAAATCTAGACAAAGCTCCAAGTTTCGTTCATCTATCTGTTAGTGACGTGAAAGTTCCTGAAAAAAGGTTTAAGGAAGAAATGGAATTTTGGGACCTTTAGGGAACAGCTCCCAAACGGTCCAGTTTTCCAATAAAGTTGGGTGCGCCTATTGCAGCCACTTTCTCTGTCCGTCCGTCTGTCCGAGGCCTTAACTGCTCCTACAATTTACAAGATATTAAGTTCGTCGTTTTTGCATTCGGTAGCGTATAATAGCACTAGCACCTGAGCCATGGAAAATCTTGTCAATTAAATTGCGCATGCGCAGGCTGCGCAATGTCAACTTCTTTAATTATTAATATATTTTGTTGAAATTTTAACCACAAATACTTCTGGGGAATGCAAATATATCGCATATAGTAAAAATCAGTTGTGCGCATGCGCAGACTGCGCAATGGCAACTCTTATTTATGGAGGTATTTCTTTGAAATTTTACCCAAAGATGCTTTTAGTGTAAGCAAACGTATCACATATTGTAAACGTCAGATTAATGTGCGCATGCGCAGGCTGCGCAATGTGAACATTCTTATTTATTTTGTTGAAATTAAGTGGCATCTATTCAGAACCAGAACAATAATAAAACGCCCATTACGAAAATAAAATTGCTATCAGCATCCTTGCTAGGGCCTCACAACTTCACGTATAGTTCAGTCTTTTATTGTGTGTATTTAACCAATTTCTAGAAAATAGTCAGTTAATTGGAAGACCACCGTGACTCAAATTTGCTTCGCCCTGTCAAAAACGGAGACCCAGTCTGATTAATTGATATTTATCAATATAAGCCATTCATGAGCTTATTATTACTGAAACCGAGTATACCTGATTGAGCTAGCACCCACTAACAAATAAGATATTTTGACCTTACGTGTTGAGAACAATCCTGAATGGCTTATATGTAATCTGAACAAAAACAATAACGATATGAATATGTAAATGTTTTGTTAAGTTGTGTGTTATTGTATTTTTTACCTATATTTTTTACGATTGGAATTCTAGAAGTGTCGGTAAAGAAAATACAATTGATCACACAACCGTTAGCAGTACACCTTCGTCTGTGACAACAAGTTCGTCAAACTCTCCAACTCCTACCAGTCCGTTACCTGGCAATCAACCCGTCCGGAGGTTTGTAAACATGTAATTCTAATGTAACAGATTAATACTCACGATCTACTTATCACCACAGCGGTTTAAAGTTGACTTTGGGAGCGACGACGCTCCTCCCTACAAATTCTGTCGCAACTCCGTCAACCCCCACTACCCCGGGTGGAACTAGATTAGCTGTCATTAAAAATTTCTTCAAGTATGAACGAGTGATAGTCTAAAATTAGTTTGTTCTTGCTTTTTTAGTATAGTCTAACGTTTGTAATTCATAGGGTGTTGATCGATCATTCTCTGTACTAACAATTGATTGTATTTTTCTGTCATTAATTGCTAGCGTTGTGTTGACCAGAAAGCGATTTAACGCCGATTTTTAAAACAGATCGTTTGTGCCGCCCGTAAGGGACGAGGAGAGCGAAACGCAGCGAAAGGCGCACGCCAAGCGAGTACGCGAAACTCGGCGGTCCACGCAAGGCGTCACGCTAGAGGAGATCAAATCTGCCGAACAGCTCGTTAAAAAGAAGAACCAGACCGGCGTCAACAACAACAATAATAACACCAACAACAATGAACAGGTAACCGATTTCTCCTTAAATCAATTTTTTTAAGTATACAGAAAATGGCGACTTAATGGTCTTTTTAATCTGACCTTAAACATGCATTAATCTTAACATTGATTACGAATTTGTCGCTTATTTACTAATCTACACACGATCGAGGTCAAATAAATATATTTTCTGTATATCTTATCTGTCCTAATTTTCACATTGGCTAACATACGGGTTCAACTAAGGCCGATTCCTCTAACGGTGTGAGTGTGACTGCCACTATAACCACAGCCGCACCTACTGTTCCTACGCGTGATAATGAAGAGTCTGCTTCTGTGTATGAACGCAGGCCTTCGTGGAGACTTAGGGTTGATAATGGCGTCAAGGTAAGTCGATTTTTGCGCTTTCTGTACATTTTTTCGTGTGACTAATGTAGTTTCCCCGTTCACTTAATTTGATTGTCGATTGTTTTGTCTATTAAGTGTGCTTCATGTTGCATGTCTTTCATTCATTTCTAAGTAGTGTTCCTCGGCTTTGTACAAAATTGTAGTGGGGTCAGCCTAAATCAATAAATTTGACAGTGTATAAAACCCATGTCTCGTGTTTGTGCCCGTAATTTACTAAAAACCGTTAAGGAACCTTCAAGGTTAGCGGGATTGGGGGTAGGATTAAGCAAATATACGCTAAGAATAGCGTCGTGTAAAGCAGCCTTTGCAAGTTTGAGAAATGAGAGAGAGTAAAACTGGGGCTATGGATGATACTAAAACTTCAACTGTGAGTATCTCGCGAATGGACTGTCGGAAGAGGATACTCCCAAAAGGTTAATGGTAGTGACTAAACTCTGTTAGTGAAGTCAAAACAAAGCAAGGCAGTACCTTCAAAGAGAAAGTATAGGTCTCCCTGGGACACATCCACAACTTATTGAATACTAAAATGGACTCTGGATTGGTTCCATGGTTTGTTATGCCCTACTAATAAACTGTCCGGAAAATGTCCAAAGTACTCTGGAAAGGCATTAGAGCAGTAAGCTATCAAATGCAACAAAAAAGCCAGATCATTGTAGGAGTAGTTAGGATCTTGGGCCAGAGTATGTAATATCTCATCTGATATTTTTAGAAAATGCGCACCTCCAAACTGATTAATGAGAATTTTCACCTGCCGACTGATTCATTCTCAGTTACAAATCCACCATAGTGCCAAAACTTTATTTAAAAGATTTGATGTGTCAGATGGAAAAATTACCTGTAACCTTGCAGTCTGTGTCAGAAGAACTGCAACTTAGCCAAATTTATAAACGGATGCCTTTGATTCATCATATTTATCAAGAACATTTATGGGACCTAATATGGCGACCGATTCCAAGGTTCCTCAACTTTACATACTGGCTGGTCAGTTGACTAAATCATGAGTTCGCAACAAATAACGGTTGCCCCCCCCCCCCGGCCTTATTTTCTCTTTTTTTAGTGTGTGCAAAAGTCATGATCTAGGTTGACTCCACGATTAGTTTTAACACATCCATATCGCTATTTCAGTTGCTATTAAAATCCAAATGGTCTGCTATACAGTGCGTTTGAGATAATTTTATATTCTTAGATACGAAAAATTTGTCAAATATAATTTTATATGTGACATTATCATCTATCCGATCACATATTGAAACTTCCAGCGTCACACCGGAAATCGATGCAACTTTGGTCTCTCAAATGCAATGCCTATGTTTTTTTTAAGATATTTGAAAAGAGTAATCAATTTGCTATACGACAACATAAAATATGCATATGGGCGATACAACATGCCGTGTGCTGTCAGGGTACGCTGTGTATTTTGCTTAAAATTAAAAGAATTGATATAAAATATTGAACTATATACAGAGTGTTCCAATTTTGGTATCCCATTCCTTTATGACCAACCCTGTATAATTAAAATAATTACTGCTTAGTAGTCATTAAAAACCCCTAAAGTTTTGTATCAATGTTTTCAATATCTTGTACATTTTCCCCGATAATCGACAGTCTCCAGACTTGTCAGCGACCTTGTATACAGTTGTTTTGAAACGCATATGAATTAATAGTCATTAAAAAATAAAACTAATGTTATACAATGTATATATATTTGTAATCAGAAAATACAGAGCTACTCAGAACTATAAAAATATACAGAGTGTGCCATTAAAGATATTGAAAATGTATTTTGTTGGGCACTCCCTGTGTATTGAATTCAATCAGTTACTACATTTTTAGTTGGTACAGATGAAATACTTAAAACTTTTATTTGAAACCTGATTGTATTACCAAAATCAATGAAAATAAGTGGGGGGTCAAAATATACTCAGAAACCCAGTACACGTAACTGTATATTCACCTTTGGTAATACAGCAGAACCTAACAAAACTAAGCAGATCTTTATTTGTTTTAAGAAGTTATGTTAGTTGCATAAAATTAGGCGCCCTTCAGAAGCGATTTTGTCATTTAAAATTAAAAGTAGACATAGGGAAAAAGATTACACGTAATTATATATCTACTTTTAAATAAATAGCACTGTATATTCACTTTGGCTGTTTGGGCGGGCGGTTGATCGGTCGGCTGCAAAGGTTTTTTAAGTATAACTCTCAAAGGAATCATCATAGAATGCTCAGATTTGAAGCATTAGCTTTGTTTATACATTATTGTTATATTGCCATCTGCAAAAGACACAATCTTATTTTCAAAAAAGTTACTTCAAAAATCTCATCCGATCTGTATTACGAAAGCGTGATGTACCGCCAAAGAATTGTTCTTGGAAAATTGTTGACTTAACTTTAATGCCATTTCGTGGTCAAACGTGGTCATGAAAACAAAATGGTTTTGAAATGTTGTAATATTTCGTTCCACGCCAGGAGAACATGATGGGTGAGGGAGTCTTTCCATAAGCAAGGAAAAAACTTCAACGGCTTATTTTAGCTTAAAATTTTTCAAAATCAGGAAAATATACTGTACGAAGAGATACAAGAAGTATCAGTGAAGTCATTTGTCAAATTTCTTTGGCTACCAGGAGAATATGATGAACAAGGAGGTCCTTTCTCATCATCGAGAAATCTGTTGGTTTAAATCAAATCTTTTATCGAGAGAATATAATGAGGGAGAAAGTGACTTTCTGACCATGCACATGGGTGCCAAAATCATGGCGCTCTGCGGAACTCTCTATTTTCCTAAGACATTTTTTTAAAATCTCTTAGGAATATTTTTTAAATTTTTGGAATTTCCATAGAAGTAAATTTCAAAAATGTCATGAAAATCGTAAGATTTTCTTAGGAGTGTTATAAAGTAGGAATTACTGAAGTCTTTTTAAAAAATTCCATAGGAATCTTCTTGGAAACATTCATTGGTTTTAAGAATTTTGTTAGCTGGCCAAGACGACAAACAAAGATTAAGCACTTACGGACTGTCACTTTTTATTAATATCATTTTTACTATAGAAGAAATATTGCATAGGCAATATTTAGAAACCTCAACATTTTTGGAATAGACTACTTTATACAAAATGCCCTTTAATTTTTGTACTTAATAAAATTTTAGTTTATGATCCCCCTGCATTTATTTATTATCAAAATACCAATACAGTCCACTAAACAGGGACCTCTTCTTAAAGGAAGCCATCCCCAATTGCAGCTCTCATATACAATAAAAATTATAAACATTAAAATGTCAAAAATAGAATAATTTAGGTATAGGACATTATACAGGATCGTTATTAAACATGAAACGGAAGCACTCACGCTCAAACCGTTTATATAGACATGAAAATTAAAACGCTTCCATTTGAAAGTATTTCACATGTTTTAAGGTTAAAAAGAATTTTTTATACAAGGTGTTTCAGTGCGACCGCCATCTTGAATTTTTTTAAATGGCAACATGGGTCATATGATAGGGCATTAATAAGCTTATTATTTTCATCATGTATAGTTTTCAATAATGCAGAAAAATTTGAAAAACTGCTGTACGTTCATTTGGCTAATGTATTGCACTTTAAATTTAGATACCTTTAAAATAACAGAATGTGTAAAATAAAGAAAGGAACAGTAAGCATGTGTGTAAAAAGTATGGTTTGTTTCCTTACAACTATTGTATTGTAAATCTTAATTTTGTGAAATATGGCAACGGTTTTTCAAATTTTTCTGGTTTATTTTCTAATTTAACACCATACATGATTAAGGTAGTAAGAAAGAGAAAAATATAATATTTCTAATGACGTGTCACATCCTCTATGTTGCTATTTAAACAAATTCAAGATGGCGGTCACACTCAAACACCCTGTATAAAAAAATTCTTTTCAATCTCTAAATATGTGAAATAACTTCCAATGGAAGCCTTTTAACTTTCATGTGTATATCTCAAACGGTTTGAGTGCGAGAGCTTCTTTAATAACAACCCTGCACGTGAAATGTATGTTGAATTTTACATAGTGTAAAAATTAATAAACCCCTTTAGCGGCAGAGCACCTCGGTTTGACCCTACATACGGGTCAAATCCAATGACCCATTTTCAATAGGCATGTGGCATATAGGTCAACTGTGCAAAGTTTGAGCCGAATCGGTCCAAGCGTTTGGCAGTTATCGTGTTCTTGAACGAACACCATCAACTCACCTATAAAGCTTACATCGCTTTGCTCTGCCGCTTAAT